CCAAGTAGCTGGAACTACAGGTGCGTGTCATCACACCCAGCTCCAAGTAACTCTTGAATGTGATATTTTGGCTGTTTGGACTATACATACTCAGGCAAAATACAAAACAAACAAAAAAACTTCCAATAACAAATATTGAATTCTTGTTAATAGGTTTGCTTTTCACAATGTTATAGGTTACCAGTTATAAAACAAGGACTGGGCAAATAAGTAAGTGAATATATTAAAGATACCGGGGGCTGGGCACAGTGGCTCACGCCTGTAATCCCAGCACTTTGGGAGGCTGAGGCGGGCAGATCACCTGAGGTCGGGAGTTCGAGACCAGCCTGACCAACATGGAGAAACCCTGTTTCTACTAAAAAGGGTAGATCACCTGAGGTCAGGAGTTTGAGACCAGCCTGGCCAACATGGTGAAATCCCGTCTCTACTAAAAATACAAAAATTAGCTGGGCATGGTGGCATGCACCTGCAGTCCCCGCTACTCAGGAGGCTGAGGCAGGAGAATCGCTTGAATCCAGGAGGTGGAGGTTGCAGTGAGCTAAGATGGCACCATTGCACTCCAGCCCAGGCAACAGAGGGAGACTCCATCTAAAAAAAAAAAAAAAAAAAAAATCAAAGGGAAAGGAGTAACTGTACAGCTCAGAAACCTGGCAGACACCACCCTAATAAAATGATCAGCCCTAGCTCTGATCTCACCAGTAATGGGATAATGGACATCACGTTCCTCAGACCTGCTGCACTGGCGAGAACGCAAACATTTCTATGGGAGTCCTGCCAAAATTTAGTCACGAGGAAATATCAGACAAACCCACACTGAGGGTAATTCTACTAAAAAAAAAAATCACCTATACTCTTCAAAAATGAAAGAGAAACTGTCCCAGATCAAAGGAGAACTAAAGAGACGCGATAAGGGAATGCAATGTGTCCTAGATGGGATCCCAGATGCTTTTAGCATTTTCTTCTCTTTCTTTTGCTGTAAAGGACATTAGTAGGACAAATGGAGGTTGGAAGAAATCTGTAGATAAGCTATGCTGTGTATCAATATTCACTTCCTGACTTTGACTATTTTCCTGGGGTTATGGAGAGAATGTCCTTGTTTTTCAGAAATCATGCTGAAGAGTTTAGGAGTGAAAGGTCATGAATTTTGCAGTTTACTTTTGTATTTATTTATTTTTATTTTTTATTTTTTTGAGATAGAGTCTCACTCTGTCTCCCAGGCTGGAGTGCGGTGGCACGATCTTGGCTCACTGCAACCTCTACCTCCCAGGTTCAAGCGATTCTCCTGCCTCAGCCTCCCGAGTGTTACGGGCATGCGCCACCACGCCTGGCTAATTTTGTATTTTTAGTAAAGACGAGGTTTCTCTATGTTGGTCAGGCTGGTCTGGAACTCCTGACCTCAGGTGATCCGCCCTCCTCGGCCTCCCAAAGTGCTGAGATTACAGGCGTGAGCCACCACGCCTGGCCCAGAGGATGCTTTCTCTAGAAGCAGGTGTTGGGGTGCTTTCCCTTGGAGGAGGTGCATGGGGTGCCTCCCCTCTTGCAGGTTGAGTGAGAGGGCTTCAAGGAGGCCATCTGCAGAGCTTCACCTGTGTGTCCTGAACTCTGGGGTCTCCCAGGCTGGGAAGGCCCGTGCCTGGAAAAGCCTGCAGCCTGGCCAGCTGGTCCTTGCTGGGATCAGGAGGCACAGCTGTGCAGTGAATCTTGTCAGGGTGGGGCCTGCCTGTAGGCTTTTCCGGACCCAGCTGAGAGCTGGCTGAAAGGAAAGGGCTTGGAGCTGTGCAGAGTGGGACTTGGTGCGTGAGTACACAGAGGCCGGAAGTGGGGTTGGGGAACGGGTGGACAGTGGAACCCAGTCAGCTGATCCTTGAGTAGCGTCCCAAGGGGCAAACCAGAGAAGACGCTGCCCAGGAAGAGACCTGTAGTAGGAGCTACTCCCAGCAATGGGGGCACCAAAGAACCCCCAAAACACCCTGCCAGAAACAAGCCAGCTTGAGAAGAGCCAGCTTGAAACATCTCCAGCCATAGCAAAGCCACAGCAGAGAACAAAGGACACCAGGCAAGAAAAACCTCTCCCGCCCTTCCTTCTACCTGAATCCCCGCCCACGCCGTGGAGGAAACAGGGAGCCAGAGGGTAGAAGGAGCTGGACAGAGGATGGGACCAGGGGAGCACAGAGCACTCCTTAGGTTCCTCCTCTGTAAAGTGAGGTCACGGCCACATCTCCCTGTTGGGTTAGGGTTAAAAGAGATCATCCACTAAAGGGCTTGCTGCAGTGCCTGGCACATGGAAGTGCTCATAAACGTCCTCTGGCGGCAGGGGCAGAGTCCACAGGACCCAGGAGAACAGACAGTAGAACCCTGGTTCTGTGCGCTCAAGCTGTGGAATTACATGCATTGGAGATAGACGTTGAGGCAGGAGGAGAGTCCTGGGGAGAGGAGGCTGGCACGAGTCAGGTGGGATGTCATGGCTCCAAGTCCGGACAGCTGAGCTTCTGCAAAAGGAACCAACAGTAGCAGACACGCGGGGGGGCAGGCACCCCGGGGCTGCTGTCCAAGACACACCCCAAGGACGTGGGCAGGTGGGGACACTCCCTGCTGGTGAAGAGGCGATTCCAGCCACTCTCCCGCCGTCAGGTCAGGCTGGGAGCCCGCTGAGCCCCACCCTGCTGGCTGAAGGGAGGGGAGCCCACACCCAGGTGGTCCAGCAGGGGCCAGAGGAGCCAACATCACTCCCACCCCCACTGCACCTTTGTGCAAATTTGAGAAGACACCCCTTCCTCCAGTCATTCCTGCCCTTCCTTCTACCCACATCCCCACTCCCACCAGGGAGGAAACAGAGGTGGGGCGGAGGGCAGAAGGAGCTGGAGGAGAGGCTGGAGCCAGACATTACCACTCCTGTCACAAGCACTGGGTGTCATGAGTCAAGGTCCCAACCCGGAGCAGAGATTCAAACCCTGGGGCATGGGCCTATGCAAGCCTGATCTTATGCACGAACAGCTCTAGCTGGTCAGGAAACACTCTGATTGGATATGCTCGTTTCTCCCCTTGAGTGACCTGCAAAGGTGCAGATCAAAACCAAATACCCCCACACCAAGGATAAGTAGCAGCACTGCCCCCCAGGCAGTGATAGGATTGGATTTGACATAAAGAACAGAAAAGGCTAATCAGAATGTTCTGATGTGCTGAATCTGGGGAAGAGGAGAACTGAAACCAAAAAATCCAGCAGGGATGAATGACGTCTTAGTCATGAAACTGACAGCAGCTGTGAAATAAGCCACTCAGAAGTGAGGCAGGCTGCTGCTAAGCTGAGAAGGTTCAAAACAGGACTCAGTGATGTGCTCAGGTGAGAACTTCAGGATGTATCTTGTGTTCTTTCAGCTCTATCTGGAGCAGGAAAAAAAAAAAAATCTGAGCCATTCTAGGTCAGGAGGGGTTGGCAGGAGGAAGTGACAGCCATCCTGCTTTGCAGCTGGGATCATCTGGGTCTTCTTTCTCCCTGCCTTTCCCTCCAATCCCAGGAAGCAGGAGTTGGTGGGCTTAGTTCTCCCCTGACCAAAGAGAAATGGATGTTAAGGAGCGGCCTTTGCATCAGGCACTGACCTTGAGTCCAGACAATGATAGGCAGGGTGGGAGGACTGACTTCACCAAAACCAGTGTTCCCTGGTCTTCATAAGGGGTGGGGTGGGTGCGTGGGGAGTGTCCTCCATCGGTTAGCTCTTTAAATCCTCACAAGAACAGCTTGAGGTAAGCACTATGATTGTTCTTAACTTAGAGATGGGGAAACAGGTTCAGAGAGGTTAAGTGACTTTCCCAAAGTTACCCAGCTGTTAAGTCATGAAGCCTCAGCTGGCATCCTTGTTTGGGGGCCTGTACCCCTGAACCATATCTCTGTTCTGTTTCACTTTCAACTGGAGTCTAGAGCCATATTAAAAAGCGTCAAATGGACCGGGTGTGGTGGCTCATGTCTGTAATCCCAGCACTTTGGAAGGCTGAGGTGGGATGATAGCCTGAGGTCAGGAGTTCAAGACCAACCTAGCCAACAGAGTGAGACCCCATCTTAAAAAATGACAATAAAAAATAAAAATAGAGCCAGGTGTGATGGCTCACACCTGTAATCCCAGCATTTTGGGAGGCCAAGGTAGGCAGATCACGAGGTCAGGAGATCAAGACTACCTGGCTAACACGGTGAAACCCTGTCTCTACTGAAAATACAAAAAAACAGCGGGACGTGGTGGTGCATGCCTGTAGTCCCAGCTACTCGGGAGGCTGAGGCAGGAGAATCGCTTGAACCTGGGAGGTGGAGGTTGCAGTGAGCCGAGATCACACAACTGCACTCCAGCCTGGCGACAGAGGGAGACTCCGTCTCAAAAACAAGGACAAAACTCGGTGCTGTCCAAATCTTGCTGCAGCATCCACGCTCCTCAGTAGAGAGAGGCAGCCCTAGGTGGGGAAATGGCCAAAAGCCAGAATGGAAACAGTTCTCGGGAGGCTGAGATGGGAGAATTGCTTGAACCCAGGAAGCTGAGGTCGCAGTGAGCCTAGATGGAGCCACTGCACTCCGGCCTGGCCACAGCGAGACACCTTCTCAAAAAAAAAAAGAAAAAAGAAAAAACAGTTCTCCTGATTTGGATCCAGGGCCTGCTCTCCTCCTCCTTAGAAGTCCCTCCCAAGGATCCCTGACATCCCATGTCAGGGATTCCTGGAGGGAGAAGTTTCTTCCCTTATCAGCTGTTGGATGACTCGGACGGCCCAAAGGAAAACAAGAATGCCCGGACCAATAGGAAGACAGCAGATTTGGGAAAGCCCTCATTCTTCTCCCAGAAGCTGGGAGTCCAACTTCCCCAACCACAGCAGTTTGGCCGGCGCGCGGGCCTGCGGGGAAGGGCGAAGCGGGGCGGGGTCGGGAGCGGAAGCCGCGCGGGGGCGGGACCCTCTCGGCGGCCCACGCAGAGCCAGGGGGCGCGGACTACAGCTCCCGGCCTGCCCCGCGCGCGGTCCCCGCCCGCCCCTCGCGCCCGGGAGGAGGATGCAGAGACGCCGCGGCCGGCGATGAGGATGGAGGCCGGAGAGGTAGCGCCGCCGGCGGGGGCGGGCGGCCGCGTCGCGGGCGGCTGGGGCAAGTGGGTGCGGCTCAACGTGGGGGGCACGGTGTTCCTGACCACCCGGCAGACGCTGTGCCGCGAGCAGAAGTCCTTCCTCAGCCGCCTGTGCCAGGGGGAAGAGCTGCAGTCGGACCGGGTGAGGCCCCCGGGGTGGGCGGCGGGCGCGGGGCAGCGGTGGGTCCTCGGCTCGCCCGACTCGGGGCTGCCCGGCCTGGCCTACCCGCCAGGCTGGGGACCCGGCTGGGTCCATTTCGGAGGAACTGGAGGCGGGAAGAACCGGCAGGAGGAGGGGAGGGGAAGGTGGGTCAGGCATGAGGGATGTGCCCATTGCCTTGGCAACGGGACAACGCAGGCCGCGGCCATCGTAAGCTCTCCAACAGCCCTGGATCGAGGCCTCTCCTCTTTTGGGGCTGTGGGCAGCGAGAGACCTGGGGCCTTTCTTCCCTCCCAGAGGGGACTCCTGCTCTGGGGAAGGAGTCGACAAGGCTACTTCTCCCGCCCTTTGGGTTGTGGGTGGCGCAGGGGTGCAGGGAGCTGGATGGAAGAGTCCTGGGGCGCCTTCTGAACTGGGCAGACTCTAGGAGGAGCGCTGGCCCGGTGGGCGCTATTTCTGAGCACCCACCCTGACTCTGCAGCACGCTGCCTTTGCGACCTTGGGTCGGACCCTTCCCTGCACTCAGCCTCCTTCCTCATCTGTAACACGAGGGGCTGGTCTGAAGATGCCCTCTAAGGTCTCCTGTCCCCCATCCGTGACCTCACCTCTCAATGTCTCCAATCTCTGTAGAGTTGCGTGGAAGCCCACCCTGCCTCCCTGCCCTCGAGAGTGTCCAGTGAAATAGTGACTCCTTTGGAAACTTGTAAACATCCCCTGAAAGACTAGGGACCTTGGGGCAACGGTGGGGCTGGCTTCAGGGGACAGCTTTTAAGAGGGACACTGGCAGGGCCTGTGCTGGGCCAGGTGCCACTCAGACCTCCTCTCGCTGGATGCTCACTGTGACCCCTAATTATGGGGAGAGGAGTGAGGCTCAAAGAGCCCAGATCGTTAGCCCAAGGTCACACATTCAGGAAAAGGCAGAAGCAGGGTTTGAACCCATGTCCGTTTGACCCCAGTGCCTTTTTGCTCCTTCGTGCCTGCTCCATCCAGGGAAGAGCTCTCCCTTGACTCTCCCTCCCTCCCTCCCTGTGTATGTGTGGGGTTAGCCAGGGAGAGGCCTCATTCTTCTCTCACTGAGCCTCCCTCACCTCCATAGGATGAGACCGGGGCCTACCTCATTGACCGTGACCCCACCTACTTTGGGCCCATCCTGAACTTCCTCCGTCATGGCAAGTTGGTGCTGGACAAGGACATGGCTGAGGAGGGTGAGTTGGTCCAGGGGGCTGGCCTGGGGCCCACATCCTAGCCTGTCCCTCTGCAGCCTGCTGGGGCCCTCTGTGGAGGCCCCAAGCCATTTGGACAGCCAGGACAGACATCTGCCTGCTTCCTTGTTTCCTGCCTCTTCCCACCTGGACGGGACGGATTCCTGGGCATCTGCCGGTGCCAAGCCTGGGGCTCTGCCAAGCAGACAGGCCCAAGCTTTCCCTGGGTACTCTCAGGGAGGTGATGGAGAGACACACGTGCAGGGGATAGAGGGAGTCA